CTCTTTGCTTCCTGTTAGTCAACCAATCCTCTATCCATGCTAATACTTTACCCTTAATGCCATGCATCCTTATCTTATGCAGTAGCCTCTTGTGCGGCACCTTGTCAAAGGCCTTTTGGAAATCTAGGTACACCACATCCACTGGGTCCCCATTGTCCACCTCGCTCGTAATGTCTTCATAGAATTCCAAAAGATTTGTCAAACATGACCTGCCCTTCATGAACCCATGCTGCGTCTGCCCAACGGGACAATTTCTATCAAGATGCCTTGCTATTTCTTCCTTGATAATAGACTCAAGCAGCTTCCCCACTACAGAGGTTAAGCTAACCGGTCTATAATTCCCCATCTTTTGTCTACTTCCCTTTTTAAACAGTGGCGTCACATTTGCTGTTTTCCAATCTGCTGGGACTGCCCCAGAGTCCAGCGAATTTTGGAAAATTACCGCCAGTGCACCTGCTATTTCTCCCGCCATCTCTTTTAGTACCCTGGGATGCATTCCATCAGGGCCAGGAGACTTATCAATCCTTAGCTCCATAAGCTTGCCCAACACTACCTCTTCCGTAATAATGATTGTTTCTAGGTCCTCACCTACCTTCGTCTCTTTGTCAATTACTGGCATGTTATTAGTGTCCTCCACTGTGAAGACTGATACAAAATACCTGTTCAATGCCTCGGCCATTTCATCATATCCCATAAATAAATTCCCCTTCTCATGCTCTAAAGGGCCAATGTTTACTTTAGCCGCTCTTTTTTGTTTTATATATTTATAGAAACTTTTCCTATCTGTCTTTATATTCTGTGCTAGTTTTTTCTCATGTTCTATCTTACTTTTCCTTATAGCTCTTTTTGTGGCTTTCTGTTGACCTTTAAAGTTTTCCCAATCTTCTAGTTTCATGCTGTTTTTGGCCACTTTGTATGTCTTCTCTTTCAATTTGATAGCCTCCCTTATTTCGTTCGACACCCATGGCAGATTACCCCTTTTCTTACAGTCCTTCCTTTTCATTGGAATATACTTTTGCTGAGCACTTTGAAAGATTGCTCTGAAAAGGTGCGTTCCGTAATAGCTGAGCAATACGTCCCACCAGGATACTGTCTGAAGATAAAGATACAATCTGGGCAGGACTTGAATACAGAAATCAATGTAATACTGAGGGGATGCTGCGCTGACAGAGATGCTTTCTTTCTGATTGGATGTCAAACTGAGGCATTTTATATCCTCTCAGTGGGCATAAATGATACCCACGGCAGTATGTCATAAGAAGAGAAAGGAAGCTATTCCCAGGCCTACATTTTAGCCCTCAGTCAACACCACAAAAACAAATTATTTGGTAATTCTCACATTCCTGTCTGTGGGACCTTGCTGTGTGAAAATTAGCTGTGCTACCTACATTAAAATTGTGGCCACACCAAAAAAATACTTAATTTGCTGTAAAGTATTTTTCGGTGTCTGCTGATTGTGAAAAGTGCCATATAATTGAAAAAAATTTTCAAATACAGAAACCATGTTCGATGACATTGGATAAAGCTTGGTTTCAGCTCATTCCATGTCTTCTGTGGGAGAGATGAGGAATGGTTGGAGACATATGTAATCCAGGTGCCACTGCAGATCTTTCAGGAGTCTCACACCTTTATAACATGGTGAAACATCAAATTAATTAGTTACTGGTTTACAGATCCTACTTGGACTGAAGACATACAGGGAAAGATCAAGGTGATTAGTTTTAAAAAATGCCCAGGAGATTCACTATTTAAAAATAAAGAGTACTTTGTCTCTGGGGGTCAGATACCACTATTCTGGTCTAAGTTGCCAACTGTTTATCTCATCACATCAACCAAAAAGAAATTCACTTGGGTCAAAAATTAGTCTCATGGCTCCAATTTACACACCTGAGTTCTTCAGTGTATAGTGTTTATGTTGCCATTGATTAAGAAAATCGACCAGTCACTAAGTTTCTTTGATTGTGTGGCTTTTGTTAGATTTTCTCTTGTCAAGAGAAGGAGTAAAGCATTATGTCTAATGGAATGAAACTGGTGACTGTGTTTTATAACTATGATCAATAATTGATGTTTCCTGGTTAACTTTTCGGCTGTGCTGGGGACAATGTTAATCTGACTCCTGGTTAAATATAGTTAAAACAGTTAGGGAATTACAATATTTGCAAGGTTTAGAACACTTAGTAGAGTTGCCAACAAGGAGTAATCAGGAATATAGGCATAATTTACTGTGTGAAAATTAGAGAATGACGTGACGTAACCTTTTAAGATCACTATCAATATAGATTCTTGACAAATTATTTTAGCTTATTCTAAGAGGAATTGAATGCAAGAGTAAGGAGTTTATGCCTAAGTTAAACAGGACATTATTGAGATTGCATCTGGAGTACCATGTACAGTACTTGTCACTTGTGAAAGAATGTTAATGCATTGGAAGCTGTTCAGAGAAGGTTTACTAGTCTAATACCTTGAATGAATGGTTTGCCGAATGAGGAAAGGCTAGACAGACTAGGCCTGTAAACTCTGGAGTCTAGAAAAGCCAGAGTTAACTGAAACATACAAGATCCTGAAGGGACTTGACCAAGTGGATGTTGAAAGGAGGTTTGTTCTTGGGTGAGAATCTAGAACTAGAGGTCATAGTTTAAAAATGTGTGCCTATTTCAGGCAGAGATGAGGAAATATTCATCTCAGAGGGTTGTGTAATTTTTCAAATTCCCTTCCTCAAAAGGCAGTGGGTGCAGTATGTTTAAATACTTTTAAGGCAGAGTTATTTAGATTTGTAGTTACTGAGGGCAATGGAAGATTATTGGGGTTATGCAGGAATGTAGAGTTGAGGTAAAAATCAGAGCAGCCATGATTTTATTGAATGGCAGAGATTCAAAGGGCTTGCTCTTGTTCCTTGCTCAAACATGCACAAGTACTTTTCTCGCAAATTCTTCATCCATATTTATTTATCTCTCAAATCTATTATGTCCCACTCTACTGGGCAATGTTCTAACTCCCAGTTCTCTGCCATCCCCTTTTCTAGCTGTGAGCGGTGGCTAAGTCGAGCGATAGGATTTGGTATAGCTGTCGTGGATTGACTGACAAAGAGAGGTACACAAAATGGCTGCCACATAGCAACTGTCACTTTACCTCCATATCTTTGATTTTATATGAGGCATTTTGAAATGGTTCTGTGGGGCATGATACAGTAATCATAATGAAGGGTTGAAATTTCTGGTCATTTCGTGCATTGGGAATCACTGCACAAACTGGAATATTAACTAAAGAAAGAACAGTGAAATGAAAGTTAGGTATATACATCTGATGGGTGAGCTGGCACCAATGTAAACAAATTGGTTGGCCACCTAACATTTCTATGATACTGTGATCTGTCAAATGGCCTTTCACTGACATGTCGGACTTAAGGTTTTGCTTTTCCCACTATCATGTCATTGCCTGTTCTTATATAGCTCCATATTCCATTGGTACCAGGGTTGTAAGGTAACAATTCTTCATGCCTGGATCTTCAGTATGGGATAAAATTAGCAATAATGGATAATTGAGCATGTTGCTCCAGAGTTCTAAATGCAACTTCAAACCAGCAACATTGTGCAAATCTCAAGGTTCAATTTTGATGATGTAGCGGAGGTTATCTCTAATGTCAGGAGAAGATCTATATAGGGCAATAATGGGAATGCTACACTGTTGGCCTTTGCAAGTTGGCAGAGAGGGCAATTTGCTTACACAGTCCAAAGTGATTATTATGCTAAAGAGATATTAGCGAGAGCTTGTATTAACCGTTACATTTTTGTAAGCTGCCAGTCCAGAAAACCCTCGACAATGGAATTCATGGTGTCTTCAACTATTTGGCTACTTCCAATAGCAAATATAAAATAAAGTTGATTAAAAGGTCCTGGATTTCCAATATAGATGCAACAGTCAAGAAGGCACAACAATGCCTCTTCTTCCTCAAGTGGCTCAGGAAATTTGGGATGTCCATAAGGTCCCTCACCAACATCTCCAGATGCACCATTGAAAGCATACTGTCCGGGTGCATAGTGGCCTGGTACGGCAACTGCTCTGCCCAGGACTGTAAGAAATTACAGAAGGTGGTGTGCACAGCCCAGACCATCATGGAAGCCAACCTTCCATCCATGGACTCTATTTAACTGCCGCGGAAAGGTGGAAACATCATCAAAGACCTATCTCACCCCAGTAATGACACCTACAACCTCTGCATCAGGCAGAAGATTCAGAAGCCTGAACACATGTACCAGCAGGTTCAGAAACAGCTTCTTCCTGGCTGTTATTGGACTGATGAATGGACTCGCCAGCCTCAAATATTGCTGATTTTGCTAATGATGATCTTGTCTAGCACACGCCCTGTATGTGGTAACCTGTACGCCTCTGTCTAAGTCTTTTTGATCTGTACATCCTTGTTTACTATGATCTGCCTGTACCACTTGTAAACAAAGCTTTTCACTGTACTTCGGTACATGTGACAATAAATCAATCAACGAGAGCTTTAAAACAAAATATGAGTTAGACAAAAGCATTTTTTCTAAGCAGAGTATTGCCCCAACACTGTTCCGAGGATAATTATTCATCCCACAGCGTAAATATCTTACCTGTGGCCTTGTGAGTAGTTAATGTTTAGTATTTTCAAGGTACATACAGTCATGTGTTTGAAGAACAACCATATGAGGTTGTTAAGCTGTTTCCTTATAGAACATTGTCAAACACTAACATCACATTTTGACTGAGATTTGGGGTTTTCTGTCAATCTGCTTGTTGAAGTTTTAGCTAAATATAATTTTAACATATTTATTAATAAATTGTTAAGTGAAAAGTTAAACCATTGCATCCAGAAATATTGTGACAAATATCAGACACCTTTTATGCAAACTCAAGGCAGGACATCTGCAAGGAATACTAAAGAATGTTTCAGTTCAGCAGAAATTGTAAGATGTCTCTATGTCACTTTAAACTGGAAGAGAAACATCTTTGTCCTGTCCTTACAGGCATCACTGACACCAGGCTGTTCCCCAGTGAGGAAGGATGGCTGATCAGAGGAACAAAAGCAAAACACTACATGGAGGTGAGGATCAACTCCTTTCAAAGTGCTCTATGTTTCACCTATCACTGTCTCCACCTGATCCAAGCCACCCAGATAGTGCCCAGATAGGCTGCCCTATAACCACATGTATAAAATATGTCATGTTGTGAAGTTTCTATTCTCTCATAGAATCACTTAAAATGTGTTATTTTTCATTACACCACACATTAAAAGATAGCATGATGATATCACAAGCATATCTCTTAAATGGTACACTGACATCCTGACCATGAGACAATAACAAGACACCTTGTCAAATCCCAAACCTGTCTGGTGTGCAGTGTTATTTGGAGGGTAGCCCGGCAAGAACATTCTAAAACAGCTGGCTAATGCAAACTGAAAGACATCTCGAAATCTGTCAAGGCTCACGAAGTGCATCTTCATCTTGCTGATGGTTTGCAGCAGCATTCATTTGATGGTCATGTGCCTTTCATTGTAATGCTGTTGGGTTTCATTGATTGTGTGTCACATTTGAGAATGTAGTAGACCACACAAAAATTGGCTGATTTGTTGATAATGAAGTTGGCGATGTAGATGGCAGGAAGGTATGAATGGAGTGCAAACACTTTTGTGCAGTTATCATGAGTTTATGGCTGTTCATGCAAGAAATGATAACTGAATGATTATAAGGCTTCAGATGGGTACATCTTGGTAACTGCATTGATACTTGAAAGTATTCCATTGTGACATTAACCAGTGAAAGTCAGTTTCCCAGAAGCTTTATTGTGTGGTTTGCTGTTTAAATGTTGATACCCACTGTCCTTGACACATTTTTGGAACTTTGTAAGAAATGCCTTCCTCTTGTGTAGTTATGGTAAGGTGGCATTCTTTTGCTTAATGAATTCTGTCATGAGCAGAGCAGCCTCTGACTTTTGACTTTGACGGTGAGGGAACCAAATAATTTGTGCCTTTTGGGTCATGGGATGATCTTGACCCTTTGAGCACTACATTCATTTGAAAGTTTGAACGTGTATACAATATTGCAGCGGCTGTTACTTTAGGGAGTGGTGAGGATTATATTCCTCAATACTCCACATTGCTACATGTTTCAAAACAAATCACCCTTTTTAATAATTGTAGGATTGTATTGTTATATTCTGCCTTATTTATGTCCTAAAATAGTGAACTAAATGGCTGGAACAGAATTGTCATGTGATTTCATCAATAGCAACATTGGGATGTGATCAATCTTTGTTGCCAGACTGAACTTCTATGATCCAGTTAAGGGAGGAGTATTAGGGAAAAAAACACTATATAAAACATGAGATAACAAGGTGTAGAGCTGGCCAAGCAGCATCATAGGAGCAGGAAGGCTGACATTTCGGGCCTAGACCCTTCATCAGAAATGGGGGAAGGGAAGGGGGTTCTGAAACTAATAGGGAGAGAGGGGGAGGCGGATAGAAGATGGATAGAGGAGAAGATAGGTGGAGAGGAAACAGACAGGTCGAAGAGGCGGGGATGGAGCCAGTAAAAGTGAGTATAGGTGGGGAGGTAGGGAGGGGATAGGTCGGTCCAGGGAGGACAGACAGGTCAAGGGGGTGGGATGAGGTTAGTAGGTAGGAAATGGGGGTGCAGCTTGAGGTGGGAGGAAGAACAGGTTAGGGAGGTGGGGACGAGCTGGGCTGGTTTTGGGATGTGGTAGGGGGACGGGAGATTTTGAAGCTTGTGAAATCTACATTGATACCATTGGGCTGCAGGGTTCCCAAGCGGAATATGAGTTGCTGTTCCTGCAACCTTCGGGTGGCATCGTTGTGGCACTGCAGGAGGCCCAGGATGGACATGTCGTCTGAGGAATGGGAGGGGGAGTTGAAATGGTTCGCGACTGGGAGGTGCAGTTGTTTATTGCGAACCGAGCGTAGGTGTTCTGCAAAGCGGTCCCCAAGCCTCCGCTTGGTTTCCCCGATGTAGAGGAGGCCACAACGGGCACAGCGGATGCAGTATACCACATTAGCAGATGTGCAGATGAACATCTGCTTGATGTGGAAAGTCTTCTTGGGGCCTGGGATGGGGGTGAGGGAGGAGGTGTGGGGGCACAGAACAATATCAGTGTCTCTGGATTAACAGTCCAGCGATAATACCACTAGGCCATCGCCTCCTCACATATTCTTCACTGTTATTAAAAGCAAGCTACCAGATTGCTAAAAATAAACATTGATTGTCAGGAGTCCACCTCCATTCATGTAATACTAATCATGTTCATGCAAAATTTCTCCATCTAACAGGTCCAATATTAGATCTGTTTGACTTTATGTATTTTGCGCAGTGGAGTTAATTTTATCGTGAGGCATAGGCTAATTGCTCATAGAGATCTCTTGATACTGAGAGATACTGGGGCAGCTGGGGCCATGATTTTGGATTCACACTCACGTAACTGGTGGGAAGTTACTGGACCCGCTCGGTGTTTCAAATGTATGTAAATATAGTCCTGTACAACTCTGGTTTGTTTGCTGGATAGAGTCAAACTCCAATGTTTGTTTTGTTTCTTCATATGCTGCTGTACAGAACCGAACTGCTTCAGTGACCATGTGTGTATACAAATGTATTTCTATGAGAAAAGTATATTTTTGAAATAAAACAGAATGGGGGCAGACAGAGGGCTCTGCTGTGTGTGGATATGGCACTGAAAGCCTTCGTGTTGGAAGCTGTCAGGAAGAAACAGGTCACGCTTCCATTGACAAACACCGCAAAAGGAATGGGAGAAGGTGGTTAGGAAGATCCATACCTGGATTCTGGCAGCTGTCCTGCACGGTGAATATTCTAAAACTAGAAATCAGGAACAAATGTTGGACTTGCTAGTGATACATCCCATGAAACAATTAAACCAAAAATTAAAACAATACATTGATGGTATCACCCACAGAAACAAGGCTTCCATCTCTAAGGCAATTCTCAATAAATTGCCACACAATTTGAAATGGAATATTAATTCAACTGGAAAGGTCGTTACATGCAATCTCTGGCCACCCAACCTCTTCCAAGTTCGGAATGTTTGCCTGGAGCATCCGGAATGTGATAATGACTCTCTTTCTGGCGATCCTGGACACTCACTTCAGTGTGTATCTTTAACACTGATTCTGCAAATATGTGTAACCTGTTTTAAAATTATTTGTAAGCCTTTGCAAATCTACATTGTTCTGAAAGCCAACACCTAATACTGCTACAATGCTTTTCATTCTGTAAATACTCTCTGTTGGACAAGCATCAAGAAAGTTTCTAAAATGAATTCAGACTGCAGCTGGTCAGAAGAGTAAGCTCCCAAACCAACTGAGCTGTGAAGTGAGTTTCTGGTTCTGTGTTGTCATTTTTCCATATGCGATAAGGAGTTTGTTCAACATTGTATGCGAATCAAATCTGACATCTTTTCTGGTAAATATAAAGATCGGATAGGTTCAGGATTGAGGCCAGGACAAGAACAACAACTTGCATTTATATAGCATCTTTGACAAACTAAAATGTTCCAAGGTGGTACAATCAACTAAACAATGACATGCAGTGAAAAAAAAACAAGCCTCTGGACTGCTGACAAAATATTCAGTCAAAGAAGTAGATTTTGAGCAGCTTTTTAAAACAAAGAGAGAGAGATGAAGGCACAAAGAAGGAATTCAAGAAGGAATTCCAGGCTTAGATGGCTGATAGCAGTCTAGCAAAGGCAGGACATGGGAAGGGAAGGATATGTAAGAGATCTGATCTGGAGGGATCAGAAATCTCAGAGGATTGAGAATGGAGTAGGTTAAGTGATAGGAGTGCAGAATCCATTAATTCATTTGCGCCACAGATGGAGGCCAGTCAGCCCATTGAATCCATGCTGTGAAAGGATTTGAGTAAAAGGATAAGAGTATCAAGTGATACTATACAAGATCAAGCGAACAGTTTCTATCTTAGTCCGAGTAGCAAATTGGACCATTGCACCATATTTGAATAGGTTACTCAAGTTATGAAACAACGTGTAGCCACCCAATAAAAGGTTTTAATTTAGCTTTCAGTTACCTCTTTGCAAAAGAGGTAATTGTAATGGCAAATAGCTTGGATCAACATTATCATCCCGTGACAGCTATAGATTAAGCACAATGTTTGATCATTAAACCCTCTGCTTTCTAATTATAAATGTGCCACTTCATTACTCATCTGTAGTGCAAGATGCATAACCTGGAACTAAATAAAGTGCTTTCAGAGCACATCTGACACTTTCGACCCACTGAACAATTCTACAAACAGCTTGGGAGCACTCTGCAGCTGTGAGCTATGGGAGAGCTCAAAGTCATAAAACAACAAAATATCACAGAGACTGTTTACAATATCTATGTGGTAAACACTGCAGTGGGGCAGAGGATGATGGAGATATACGTTGACAGATGTGGCATACTTTGCTGCACTATGCTGAAATTTTGTTGGGGGAAGGGAAGAAGTGTGAAGCCCTTACAGGCAACTAAACATTACTCAATTAAAAATTTGGCAGCAAAATTCAGCTCCCCAGCACACACTTTCTCAGTGCTATGCATCCTGTTTTGCGTGAGAAATGGCCTGTAATGCTATCTTCTGATGCAAGACATGTGGGACAACCTTTTATTGCGTGTTGTGGTGCACAGTTATGAGAAATATGCCAGAGTAGGCAGACCATGTTGCCAATCTGGTATGAAAGTTGGTATGACAGATTTGAATGTCACAATGCAACACTCAACCATGCTCAAGTCTCCTCTGTTAACTGCACACAATTGAACATACAATCAGCGACAGGAAAGATCCATTTGCTTCCCCATCCCACCCTATTCTTGTTTTTGAAAAGATCACTAACTAGTTCAGATTAGTTGTTGATTGTTTCGTAGACTTAGTTTTTGATGAATTGTACTGTAGTTTAAGATTTAGTCACTGTGTGGTGTGACAGTGTAATGAAAGCTTTGGTTTCTGCTCATGTCCCTTGCCAAAGCTTCCATCTGTCTTGCATCACAGAGATAACACAGAGGAGAACAAGCTGCTTGAAGAGGGAGGAGAAGAGTTCTCAATACAAGACTATATTCACCTAGGGTCTTCAGGAAGCATCTCTCTTACCTCAACATCAGTGACAAGACAGTTTCTATGACAGTTCTCCTTTTGGTACTGACTGACTTTTGCCTCAGAGCAGAGCAGGGATGATGCTGTCAGTGATTGTAAAGGTGACCATGGTCCAAAGATGTGCAGGCTGGGTGGATTGGCCATGGAAAAGGCAGAGTTACAGGGATAGGATGGGGGGTGGGTCTGGGTGGGATACTCTTTGGAGGGTTGGTGTGGACTCAATGGGCCAAATGTCCTGCTTCCATACTGTAGGGAGTCCATGGTGTTTGGATCATTCCAGGCTAGAGAGGCAACATCTCTAATGTATCCGAGTTCATCATCCTTTGCTGTCGAAGGGAGGTGACTGCGCTCACTGAGCAGAATGTATTCCAGGCAACGGCACTCTCACCTGGTGGCTGGAAAGCTGGCAAAAGCCCCACGTCGACTCTTTTGGGGAAGGTCAGCTGTGAGTGCCATAAGCCAATCTTATATCCATTAACTCCGTCTACACTTCTTAATGCCTCAGAAAGGCCGCCGACATCAAAGACCCCTCCTACCACATCTCTTCCAACCTCTTCTGTTGGGCAGAAGATACAAAAGCTCAAATGCATGCACCAACATTCAAGAACATTTTCTTCCCTGCTGCTATTGGATTTCTGAATGGACCTCTCTAATGTCAAATCTAATGTTGATCTTCCTTTTGCACACCTTCTTTGAAGCCATAACTTTGTATTTCTTTGCTCTGCTCAATTGCCCTGTGATCTTTGTATGGTACGATCTGCCTGTACCACACTCAAGACAAAACTTTTCACTGTACTTAGGTACATGTGGCAATAATAAGTCAAGTCCAATCAAATAAGTCATGGGTCTTCCATGGAATCAAGGTTACTGAGAGAGGTGATCCACTGTGCAAAGATACTGATCAATTAGATGATGCCAGTTCCTCACTGCTATCAGTGCCACTGGGGGCTGGTGGGAACTTTTGTGTGAAAGCTCATGCAGATGTACACTATACATTTAAAGGACCATGCTCAAGATGTCATCACTGTATCAAGGCATGTGACCAAATGGTATGAAGCTCTCTTTCTCCTTCTTAATGAGCTCTGTTGAGTTCCAGTGTGGCACGCGGAGGAAATCTGCTCCAGTACTTTTGAGTTGCTTAGTCTGAGCCCAGGCACACAAGTGGCTGTAATTGTAGTGTGCATATGTAGATATCAGGTGCTGTAATAACATTTTGACACATTCTTCAGCCACATTGACCCACAGCTCATCCTTACCGCTAACATAAAATTATCACAATGTGATTGTGGCAGATCATTACGTCAGCTACCATATCATGTAGATAATACACCCACCATAGGCCTAGGACCCAGGTCACAAGTGAAAGAAGACCAGGGATCTGGGACGTTTCACTTTCTAGTGAGGGCAGGGTAACCAGATGGCAGGGCTTCCTGATGCCAGCTCCCTAGATCAGACACCAAAGGATTCCCTCTGGGATTCCGCAAGCAAATCTCACAGGGCTTGTTTTTGGCCTTCCGTGTGGCGGCTGTTCCAGCTGCTGCAGGTTAAATACAATCAGCTTTGGGATAAGGTTCTTCCATGGACTTTCATCCTCCATTGGAGGACCTCAATCGGCATTGGGGTGTCCATAAGCTTTCAATGTTCTGGAGGCAGGATGGTAGTAGGGGTAGTAGGAACTGCAGATGCTGGAGAATCCGAGACAACAAGGTGTAGAGCTGGATGAACACAGCAGGCCAAGCAGCATCATAGGAGCAAAGGGTCTAGGCCCGAAACGTCAGCCTTTTTGCTCCTATGATGCTGCTTGGCCTGCTGTGTCCATCCAGCTCTGCACCATGGTGGTAGGGGACCTACCAGCACGCTTCTATCCAATTATGTATGTCGGGAGATGGGAATACTTTGCATTTTTATTTATGTGGGATGTGCATGTGGCTCTGCTAGGATGATAGGTTTCTCCATGTGCACACTGTTTTGCTTGTGCCACAGTTGAATATAGGGATAATTTCCCACCTCCTAGTGTCCCATTTCCTCAATGGATGATACACCTACTGGAAAACAAATTGTCGGGCTGCTTTGTGTCCCTGCTAACCCCTTTGAGCAATTCTACCTGCAGTCTTGAACCTGCCTAGCACTGAGCTGGGCTCATGTGACTTCCAGCTGAGTCCCACTGCAGCACAATGTGGAAGCTGAGACACTGGTCATTGCACACTCGATCACAGTTGATTTATTATTAATAAAAAACATTCAATGAAGATGCAAAATTGGTTAATACACAAACTTTATACTATGAAAATACAAATGCCTAACCCTCTAAATAATCTGAAACACACAAATACTGTCATAGACACATTTCAGATAAAAAGGAAAAAAATGATTTCTCTACCTTAAAAAGGAAGCCATTTTCTGGCCATCTGAGTTATTCAAAAGCATAGGCAATAAGACATAAGGATTTGAAGGATAAAGCATAGAATGTTACCCACATGATCCTGCTTGTGTAGTTATGTCATAGTTGCCACTGGAATCTTGGCAGACACAGATTGCTCAGGAAATACAATATTGAGACGTGCAGTCACTCTTTCAGGAGAATAATCCAGTTTCACAATAAACTCACCACAAAGATGGTTCTGAAACAGGAGAGAAGAGATGGGAAATGTGTTCATTGCAGATTTCCTCTAACTGATATTGAACAGAAACAACTCTCCAAGCCACACACTATTCAAAGAAGAAGAGCCATCCAACTTAGGCAAATGACATCTGAGATTCGACCCCCATTGCAATTATCCAAAATCATGTGATTTCCAAGATTTTCTTTTAAAAAAAAGTTTCAAAGTGCAATGCCTCTCTGATATTTTTGACAAACTTTTCCAAGTATCCACATAGATCTTGAAATAGATCTACATTTCCACAATCCTTTAAAGACTCACATCTTCAAAAGAAATATTAACTATGAAGTAGCTTCTTAATGATGTCCATAATACTGATTGTTGTGGTCTCTATGGCTGTGATACAAAACCCTGGCCTATTGTGGATCAGTAATGCTTGGCCAAAGAACTTGACTAACAAAATCCTTGTCCATGAATTGTAAAATCCAGTGTGGGAGCAGTA